GCTCGGCGGGCGAACGGCGTCGTGCTTGCGCGTCCGGATACGACGGAGACGACGCGTTCGAGCCGTCATGCTCGTCGTAAGCTTCCCTCGAAGCCAACGGGAGCGACTTGCGCGGCCTCTTGGCAGCGCGAGCTCCGTCGAGATGAGCCATGTGGGCCGCATCGCCACCGCTTCTGGCAGATGCGAGGTCGTGCTGCATCGAGGCTGAGCTCGACAGGCCTGCGTTCGACTGGTGGCGAGGGTCCTCACGCGAACGCGCGCCAGCGCCGACCTCCATCAAGAGCATCGCGGCTTCGCGGTCGCGAGCTTCGCGCAGCGCTTGTTCGGAGACAGGCGCCGACTTCTTGGAAGCTCGCTTGGCCTCGGAGCCAGGAGTGGACTCGCCAGCACGGCCAGCGGCTGGTGCGATGATGGGTTGGCCATTCGAATTGACCTGGACCGGCGCGGCGTCGGTCTGATTCGCTGCCTGGGCGGTGGCGTTGGCAGGAATACGCTTTCGACGCTTGATCACGGTCTTCTTCATGCCGATCGGACGATGCGTGCCGTGGAGCTTGTGGTAGAGACCACAGGCGTTGCAAATGTTGTTGCCATCTTCGTCGCGTCTCCACAGCGGTGTGGTGGTCGTCTGGCAGTTGGTGCAGCGGAGAGCTCCCACGCCGTTGCTCTTGTCGTCCTCTTTCTTCTCTTCGGGCGCAGCCGGGGCCCTCTCAGCATTGCTGCGAGCGGGCGAGAGCTCTTCGGCAGCTCGTGGTTCGCGCTTGCTGACCTTGAGGGCGTGTGAGAGGTTGTTGTTGTATGCGGGGCATCCGCTGCAGCTTGCTGTGCCGCCCGTGCCGTTGCAGAGGCCGTCTCCGGGGCAAGAGCCGGACTTGGGATCGTCGTCCCTGGAGCAACCCGAGGCAGGTGGGAGGGCCTTTGGATCTTGCGCAGGCGGACTGGCGTCGGTGGCAGATGCCCGACTTGAAGCTGCGCGATTTGTGCTGTGCGACTTCATGTAGAGACCGCAGGCGTTGCAGATGGTGCTGCCGTCGGGCGCGCGCCTCCACAAGGGAGTGGACGTGACTCCGCAGTTGGAGCATCGCAAGCCTGCATGGTGCGCCGAAGGAGGCGAGCCAGAAGCCTCGTGCTCGTGCGAGTCCCGGGGCGTGTGCTGCGGGCTGGGGTTGCGGGACGGTTGTGTGTGCGCATGGGGTCTGGGATCTTCGCTGTAAGCATGGCGGCTGCCGTTCACGTGGTAAGGCAGCTCGTTGCTTCGGGACGAGCCAGGCTGTGCATCGCGGTAGTGTGCGGCGCGAATTTCGTGGTCGTAGCTGGGTCTCGGTGCCGGAGCGATGGCGCGAGGCTGGTCGTCGGCATATCGGTGGGTCTTGTGACGATCCTCGCCAGGGTACTCGTGGCGGTAGGCGGGGTGGTCGTGACGCATGGTGGCGGGACTGCCGGAGGAAGGGGCGGGGCTCGAGTCCCGGAAGGTGTTGCCCATGTGCAAGCGTGCTGCGGCGCGAGGCGACGTGTTGGGCGTGCGGCGGTGTGCCAGCGCGTCGGGATGGTCGGAGATGAGCTCTTTGGAGAGCGACGAGATGGGAGGAAGATGAAGTCCACCGGCTTCGTTGGGATGGCGGAACGACGACGGATGTAAGAGGGGACTGTTGGGTTGCGACCTGGAAGGCCCAAGGTGGGAACGTTCGGAGCTCTGCGAGCGATTGCGGAAAGCGGCGATGGGCGACTGGGATCTTCCAGCTGGGTGGAAGGACCGAGGATCGCGGAAGAGGCTGCGAGCGGTGCTGCGGGTAGGGATCTGGGAGACGTCGTGGTGGGCCGAGGGGGATGGTGGTCGAGAAGTTCGAGGAAGGATGTGATGCAGGCCTTCTTGGTCGTGAAGGGAGCCGGCTCGGGCGTGGTGCGAGTAGCGTTCTGGCGAACGATCCGCCGGTGCGATCGGACGAGCTGCGATTCGCTGAGGATGGGATGAAGAAGAGGAGGAAGAAGAAGATGCCGCAGGCTGATGATGGGAAGGTGTCGGAGAGGCGGGTCGCGAAGCGATCTTGACGAGCGGGTGAGCCATGGCGGACAGGGCGGCTCGGCACGCGCAGGAGCTCAGTCACAGTGAGGCGGGTGCAGTCACGGCACGGATCGAAGTTGCGGCTGAGAAAGGGCGGTGCAGCTCGGGCGTACTAGCTCCGCAAACAACGGTCAAGGCCAATAGATCGACACAATGTGCAAGCCGAGCTCGGATCCCTGGAATGCAGGCGCGTTCGGGCAGGCTGAGTCGATGCTAGCGATGCGGGGCTAGCTTGGATGTCGAGTGTTCGGCTGCCGTAAGACGTGATGAGGCGTGCCGAGAGTGATGAGCCGGACGCAGCTGTGGCAGCCGAGCAGCGTTGGATGAGCACGGGGGAGAAAGGACGTGGCGGTCGTGGGGAGGCGCGATAAGGACTCGATAGGGGGGGAGGGAGATAAGGGATGAACGAGGGGGGATCGTGATGGTGGATCTGAGATAGGGACGGGCGGCGATGTAGATAGGGATGGCCTGGAAGAAAACGCGCGAGGGGGAGGGGAGCGAGGCAGAGTGAGGGGAATTCTGGGCGTTGACGAGGTCAGCTGGTCACTCTGATGGGCACACACGTGTGGGGAGAGAGAGATGCCAAAGGCGCGCGAGAGAGGGACAGAGAGAGGGAGAGTGCCCGAGGCAGGCAGAAAAGATTATGGCTCAGTTCGACAGCCGCGCGATGATTACAGACTCTGAGAGGCTACTGATGAGATTACAGCGCAGCAGCCCAGCGGCGGCGCCAGCGACAGAGATAAGTGGGTAAGAGTGGGCCATCGCCCCGAGCCCTTTTTTCGCCTGGCGATTTTTCCGCAATCTCGCCGCCTAGTGCCGCGCTGCCCGCTAGCGCGTTTTGGCACGATGTCGGAACGTCGGGCGAGCCGGCTTGGCTGGGGCTCGATCTGGTTCCAGCCGCGGCAAAAAAAAGCCAGCCTCCCCCTCTCCTCCTCTCCCTGTCGAGCCTTTGCATGGCACTCCTCTGTGGATCCCGGCTTGCTTCGAGCACACGCCGGCAGCTGGTGCTAGTGGGCTATGCATACACAGCTCGACGACTGCAGCTTCTCCCTCGCGCAGTCTAAATTTACGATATTCGGCCAAGCCCGACTTGAAGACAGGTTCTGGCAGCGCAGGCTGTGGCTTCTTGCTCGATCCTTTGGTGCAACTTTGAGCCACGGTTCGGCATGCCGACCGCCCTGCCTGGATGTGCAAGCCGACACGGGTCAAGGCGAAAACAGCGATCGTGTCGGCTGCGCCTTGGGAACCCTGACTCCACGTACATCGCCCTGAAATTTCGCGTATCTGATTGGTGACGCCAATGCGTTTCGATCAGCCCTGCAAAACTCGTGCCAGCCGTCAACCAATCATTTCCGCGCCATTTGCCCATCTCCCGCCCGAAGCACTTCGGATCAAACGGCCTCAGGCTATCAAGCCGGCAAATGTCAGACCCTCGCTTTGCCCCTCTACAAACTCCCACCAGCACCTCCCGAGCACAGCCCCGAAGGCAGACTCGTCTTTCATCCGAGCTCGCTGCGCCGGAACATGCTTTTTTTCCGAATCCCACCTTCTGCTTGCCCTCGACGAGATTACATAGCCGCTCTGTTTCCCACTCGCCCACATGCCTGCGTCCAATTGATGCCGGGTCGGAGAATTTGCTCGAGCTATCGTCGGCTCTTCTTCGCCCTCGGCCTGCAGTCTAGGCATCATGGGATGCCCGGCGAGCGATGACCGATTTCGGAAGCCTCGTCTCCGTGAAGGCTGCGGTCAGCTCGCTCCTTGTTTGCAAGCCGCGCTCCAGCTCAAATCCGTGCCGACGCCTTCTCCACCTGCACCGGATCCTTCTCAGAAGCGTGCTCTACTCTCTCGGCAAACCATCGCTGAGCCTCTGCACCTTCTCGGCCCGCGATCAACTCAGAGGTGGCCAGCTTGATTTTGATTTTATTATACAATTTGTTCGTCTCGGACGGCGATCTGCCGACAGCCAATCACAACGCACCGATTAATTTCAGGCCAGACGAGATGCCGCTTCTTTCGCCGCTCTTTCGTCTTGGCCTCGAGCCGGATCGCACATCTCCGACGCTTCCATCGGCGTGGCACTTGCCGTGCGCGAAGAGTCATGCCTCGGCCAACACATTCCTTTGCCACGCCTGTACGGACCACGGCATGGCGACCTCGTGCTCGCGGGTGCATGACAAGCCTGAATGCGCCAGTTTTGCCAGCCCAGGCTAGGTGTGATGGCCTAGTTCTGCGGACGTGGGCGTGCGTGTAGCTGACAGGGCGCAGATCGCTTAGCCAAGCGAGCACGCTTTACCGCCGGAAGCGCTAGCCTGGAGCCGATGCCTTTTCTGACGTACGGTTTCTCGGGCGAGCCTCCCGCAGCACCCGATGAATCGGGTATCGGCAATGCCGATCCAAGATTGCCTTTGCCGCCCTAACCAGAGTTCCATCCGACGAGGCACAGCTCGACGCATTGGAACACGGCAGTCACATGATCACGAGCTTGCGGATAAGGTTGTACCCACACAGGTGAAGTGGATTGTTCAGACTTGCGAAGGTCAGAACAAAAGTGAGCCGAGACGCAGAATACCACCTGTGGGAGCCTAAGCCTAACTCTGCCCGCCAAGAGCCAATACCCCAGGACCGGTTCCGCGCGATTCGATGAGCAGGTACATTCGAGAGAACATCTGAGAGTGCTCAACCGTCTTGGCCCAGCGGGGTCGAGCGTCGGGCAAAGGCAGGGACGGCAGTGCGGGACGCTGTCAAATGCGGAGAAGGAGGTGCGGCAGCGTGACGCGCCTCTCGGTCCCAAAAAATCGCAGCGTTGGGGAAGTGCGGAGCTGTGACTCCAACCATGCTTTGCGGGAGCAGCTTGAACGCCGGATTAAGCGCCGGCTCTGAGCCGCTCTGAGCAGCCACTGCGCCTCGGTGTGACGCATGTGCTGAGAATCGTGTCGGGCCCAGAGATCAGCTGTGGCCGAAGCGCAAGCAGAGTCGGCAGCCGGCTGTTCTGCTCGGTAATCACGCACACGTGCGGACCCACACCAGTACGAAGCAAGGTGCTGATACTGCCCGGAGCATGCGAGAGACAGAATGCAGGCGTCAGTCCGTACGTGAGCTACGCCAGCCTGGGATACGGCTCGGCCTTCAAGCAAAGTCACAGATAGCTAGGTCACATCAAGAGGCCGTAAGCAGCCAGCCATGGCCTGATGACCGAGACTGGCCCGATTCGCTTCACAGCCATGTGACAGCACACACATTACGCCACTAGTGTGTGACCGGAGCGAGAAAGCTCAGATCAGCGATAAGGAGCGAGTCGAGCGATGCTCGAGAGAAGCTCTAGCATTCCCTGGCGGCGTGGGTCTGAGTCAGGAGATGGAATTTCCGACCACTGACATGTCCGATAAAACGATCTCCGCGCTGTCCTGCCGTACAACGTGGCAGCCAGATTGTCACTTTTTGGGGCGTCTGATCTTCTCAGATGACCGTGCTGTCCAAAAACGCCGATGCTCGCCTCCCGAACGGACCACCCGACCAAGGCTGGCTGAAGACAGGCCATTCTGGCTGTGCTCAGTCGGATCATGCCATCTTCGCCTCACTTTCTGCCTGCAGCCCTGCAGCAACAAGGGCAGGCGAGTCGCCACGACGAAGCAGAGCGCGAAAGCAGCCACGACATTTCGCCTCGAGATCTCCGGACCGTATCCGCTCCGTCACAGCGCGCTGGCATATAAAGCGGCACTGGTCCGATTGCCCACACTGTGCCAGGACCAGAGCATCCTCCTCAATCGTCCTATATAATCAAATCCTGTCTTGCCTGCCATCTCTCATACACCCTATCGACTGAACCTTACCCTCTCGCGCTCTCTCTTCTCGTCATTATCAGCCGTCTTCTTCGACGCACTCTACAGCCCAGTATGAACCCTATCATTCGCAGAGCCTTCTCGTCGCGATCGGCCATCCGCGCTCCCCCCGCTCCCAGCTCATCTACGCTGCCCCTTGCAAGCGCCCCAAGGAGCAGCGTCGTCCGTCCCGGCCGTGTCGCCATGCTGCCCAAGACAGCCGAGCCCGCCTCGGTCTCGGGCCCTGTCAGCCACGTCAGCACTACCGCCCAGAGCTTTGACGCCACCTCCCAGGACGTCTTCCCCCAGGTCGGCTCTGTCTCGGTCCCCGGCGAGGAGCCCAAGGTTCTCCGCGTCGGAGAGAACCACTAGGCAGATCCTGCCTACAACTCCGCCCACGTGGAACCCTAATTGTGGCTCTGCAATCAGAGCGGATACGCCTCCGTCACCTCGCATTTCGTCTCGTTCACGGACTCTTTTAGCTATTTCTCGTTCTCTCACAGTAATGCATGTCCTCTTTAACTCGAGCCTGCCTTGTCTCGCTAGCTTCCGTGGCTGATCATCCAACTGGCTTAAAGGTCCGTCCCTCGCCCGAGAGCTCGACAAATGTCAGACACTCGAATGAGCGCCTTGGTCGTGCGAAAAAGTGGATGGCTGACAGCGTCGAATTACGAATTTGGATGAGCTTCAGCGTCTACTACAAATGAGGCGAGGAGGTTGGTGTGCATACACGCTTTACTGGGCGTACATCTCCTTGATGTGTCGGGAGATGATGAGCCTCTGGATCTCAGAGGTGCCCTCGTAGAGACGGAAGATGCGCGCATCGCGGTAGAGCTTCTCGACGGGCGACTCGGTGTTGAAGCCGAGACCGCCAAAGATCTGGACGGCGGCGTCGACGTTAAAGCCGGCGGCCTCGGAGGCGCGTGCTTTGGCCATGGAAGCGTAGAAGGAGTTGCGCTGACCCTGGTCCTTGGTCCAGCACGACTTCCACACGAGGTTGCGCGCCGCCTCGACGTTCATCTGCATGTCGGCGAGCATAAAGGCGACGGCCTGATGGTCGATGATGTGCTTGCCCATCGTCTTGCGCTCCACGGCGTACTTGGCAGCCTCCTCGAGAGCGCGCTGGGCGAGACCGACGGCACCGGCAGCGACCAGGGGGCGCGTGATGTCGAATGCACCCATGGCAGTCTTGAAACCGTCGCCGGGCTTGCCGAGCACGTTCTCCTCTGGCACGACGACGTTCTCAAACGTGATCATGCGCGTGTCCGAGCAGCGCTGGCCCATGTTGATCTCCTTCTTGCCGATGTGGATACCGGGCGTGTCGGCATCGACGACAAAGCCGGTCATCGACTTGGCGGCCTTGGCGCTAGGGTCGCTCTTGGCGAGCACAAAGTACCAGTTGGCCTTGCCACCGTTGGTGATCCACATCTTGGTGCCGTTGATGACCCACTTGTCGCCCTGCTTCTCGGCCTTGGTGGCGATGTTGGCGACGTCCGAGCCGGCGCCGGGCTCGGTGACACAGTAGGCAGCCATGAGGGGCTCCTCGGTCATGCGGCCGAGGTACTTGGCCTTGGTGGCGTCCGAGGCGGAGACGAGGAGGGGAGCCTCTGCCAGACCGTTGGCCTCCATGGCGGTCTGGATACCGGTGCATCCGTAGGCGAGCTCCTCGGAGATGAGGCCACACTCGACGAGACCAAGGCCGGGGCCGCCGTACTTCTCGGGGATGTGCGTGTTCATGAGACCGAGCTCCCAGCCCTTCTTGAGGATCTCTGTGGGGTACTCCATGGTCTGGTCGTGGTGGCGCGCCTGAGGGATGATCTCTTCACGAGCGAACTTGCGTGCGAGGTCACGGTAGGCCTCCTGGTCCTCGCTGAGGCCGAACGAGACGCCATTGCTCTCCACGGGTGTAGAGTAGGCTCGGGCGGCACGGGAGGCGGCGAGCGCGGCCTTGTTGGCCGAGGTGATGGTGCGGCTGCTGCTGGCAACAGCCCTCTTTGCGAAGAGAGACATTTTTGGTAAAAGGCGTTTGTGGGTTGTTGGGAGGGTTGTGGCGGGGGATGATGTGGTAGCGCGAGAAGGAAGGCGGTGCCAAGTGTGCGGAGTGAGGAGCCGCTGTTGCCTCTCGTTGCGAGGCGGGGCTCCTCTTGGCTGAGGGGGCGGCAGCCTCCGGAGTGTCGGGCATGATTTGCGCCCGGCTCGAGAGGTGCGCGCGCCTCGCCAGCGTTGAGTTTTCGACGTTGCGTCCGCGCGAGCCGTTGTCTGGCTGAGGCTTCTTACCGAAGCAGCCAGACTCGTGCATTTCACGCGCGACCGGGAGACTGGCCCTGCGGGGCGGACCCTTATCACCGATCATCTTCCCGATGCTCTGTGATCGCAAAAATTTAAAACGGAGGGCCTAACACTCTAGCGCTTCTTCCAAAGTGACAGAGCCCGAGACCGACAGGGAGTCGACGTGGCGGTAAAGGGACGGCACGCGCACACCCGCCCACCCGCGCAAGGGCCACGGCCAGCCGACAAGGTTTCGGCTCCGCTTAGCCTCACTTGCAGTGCCGCTGCAGTTGCAGTTTTTAGAGAGGCTACTCGAGCGCACGCCCCCTCCCCGTGACGGCGCTACCCGTTCTCACCGTGCCATCACCTGCAGCATCGTCTCAACCACCGCCACGCTCGCAACACACACACACACTCACACATACAGGTGCTCACCCCACAAAAGCCCAAACCAACATGTCGACCGGAACGTTTGACGCCAACAAGGCGCAGAACCTGCCCGAAATCGAGAAGCAGATGGCCGTTCGATGTGTCGAGCACGCTCAGACCTACTGGAACCTGTTGGAGAAGATCAAGCCCTCGTCCCTTCGCTTGACAAAGTAGGTGCTACCCGTCATGAAGGCGAGCGCTATGAGCACTCTCGAGAGAGAGGCCGGAAGCTGACCCTGTCTCGTTGCGTTGCACCTCGGCAGACTCGACGATGAGATGTACGAAGACTTCCAGGCTACCTTCCCAGAATTCGCAGAGTCGGCCGACCCCAAGTCCGTCCTCAAGGTCGACGAGGAGGCCATGAAGAGCCCTGCAGGCAAGGAGAAGTGGCGTGTCTTCATCAACAAGTACGAGAACAAGGGTGAGCATCTGCACCGTACCGGCCTCAACGGGTCCTCCTTCCCGCCTCGCGTCACGGGCTCGCTCGCCTTCCTGAGCTTGCCGGCCACGTGCACAATCTCCCAGGATTCAAGGCTGACTTTATTCCTATCTGTCTCTTTGCGCTTTCACCAGTCGCCGACTACAACTTTGGTACCTTGATTCGTACCGACGCCTCCGACGAGTACACGCAGTTCAACACCACCTTCGGTAAGTCTTGCACTCTTCCTTCCAACGCCGATCGCTCTTTCCGTATCCTCGCATCGATTCAAAGCTGACAAGCTGCCCTCCGCTATACGTGCCGACCAACAATGCACAGTCACGCGCCTTCAGTTCTACGTCTACGAGATCGCACGTTGCCGTCGTGGCCTCAACGACTGGGTCTACGAAAAGGCCCAGAAGGAGGCTGCCAAGGAGAAGGCCAAGAAGGCTGCTTCCGGCTCCAAGTGAAAGCCAGCATCCTTCGTCCTAGCATCGAGAGCGGTTGTCCCTCGTCAGCTTCTTTCCTGAATACCACCCCAAAACCAGACACGATTGTTCCGTCTTGCGCATTGGCTGCACATTGTCCCTCCTGTTGTGTCGTGTGCGAAGCCCGTCCACTCCGGTCTCGAGCAGGCTCGCTGGTCTGTGCGTAGATTTACAGCGTCACACCTTCTGGTGGTGGCATATGGGGAAAGGCAAACGTGAGGAGGCGGGTGAGATGGGAGGGCGCCCGACTACGGATGTTAGACCGACGTCAGGGACGCAGTTTTCGGGAATTCCTCGCAGAAGGCGGCGTTGGACGTTCCGGACTTCTGAACGGGGAATTAGACGCCGAGCATGGACCTGACCTGCCAAATGTGGGGGGCCGAGAAGCTGTCGGTGGTGGTGCCGAGCCCCGCACCCAACCCGTACACCACCGCCACCACGTCAACTTGACCGAGCAACCCGAACGTGGCCCATCGTCCAGTGTCAGCCTCAGCCAAGCACTCGCTTGAACTCGCACTGAAAAGGCGACCGTCTTTCGAACTCTTCTTCTCTCCCACCAACAACCCCCTTGTCCTTTGTACTGTCTGCAAGATGGTCTTTGCACGCCGTTTCTCCACGCGCGCGTTTGGCGCAGCCCGTTGCCCGTCCACGCCCGCCACTTCGTCCACACGCCGTCTTCTGACCACCTCAGCGCCGCGCCATAATGTCACCACTGGTGGTGCTTCCGGCAGCGCCTCGGCGTCCCCGGGCTCGTACCGCAACCTTGCACTCGGCCTGCTCGCAGTCGGACTGGGAGCCAACGCGTACTATCTCTCCCAGCGCGACAGCAAGCTTCAACTCGACGGACCCAAGGCGGTGGTGCCCAGCGGCGAGTATTCGTACAGCAACCCGCAGCTGCCGTTCGAGTATGGAAGCAAGCAAGACTTCGAGGCGGCGATCGAGGAGCTCAAGGCCTACTTTACCTCGCAGGGCGAAGCTTGGGACGACTTTGTCACTACAGACGACGATGAGCTCGAGCGCCGCGGTCTGGACGAGAACGGCCACCGCAGCTCGTCCGAGGGCACCAAGCCATCGGTGGCCGTGTATGTGCGCGACACTCCGGATGTGCAGCAAGTGATCCGCATCGCCAACAAGTACCGCATGCCCATCGTGCCCTTTTCCGGCGGAACGAGTCTGGAGGGTCACTACATTGCGCCGTTTGCGGGCATTTCGATCGACATGAGCCGCATGGACAAGGTGATTGCCTTCCACCCGGCCGACGGAGACATTGTGGTGCAGGCTGGCATTGGATGGGAGACGGTCAACCAGTACTGCGCCAAGAACGGCAACCAGCTTTTCTTCCCGCTCGATCCGGGACCGGGCGCTACGATCGGCGGCATGATCGGTACGGGCTGTTCGGGCACCAATGCGGTGCGCTACGGCACGGCGCGTGGCGAGCACTTTCTCGACATGAAGGTGGTGCTTGCCAACGGCGAGATCATCTCGACCCGCGGCGGCGGACGTGCACGCAAGTCTTCGGCGGGCTTTGACATTGGCAAGATCATCGTGGGTGCCGAAGGCACTCTGGGCATTGTCACCGAGGTGACGCTGCGACTGGCGCCCAAGATGCCGTCGGACGCTGTGGCCGTGGCGAGTTTCCCGAACGTGGAGGCGGCATCGCAGACGGTGAATGAGATCCTGCTGTCGGGCGTGCCGGTGCAGTGCATCGAGCTGCTGGACTACAAAATGATCCAGTCGATCAACGAGTCGAACCTGTGCGGACGGCGGTACGACGAAAAGGACTCGCTCTTCTTCAAGCTGAGCGGAGGCGAAGCGGCGGTGGCCGAAGCCAAGGAGGCCATCACGCGCGCCAGTGTCAAGTTCGGTGCGCGCCGCGAGAGCGTCGAGTTCGAGACGGACAAGGAACGCGCCGCCAAGATCTGGGAAGGACGCAAGGCCGCACTGTGGGCCGTGGCTGCTACCAACGAGGCACCGGGTGTCAAGGTGTGGACCACGGATGTGTGCGTTCCCATCTCGGCACTTCCCCGGCTGGTGCGCGAGTCGCAAAAGGATTTCCAAGAGTCTGGTCTTACGGGAACGGCCATCGTCGGCCATGCAGGCGATGGAAACTTCCACGCCCTCATCCCCTTCAACGCCTCGGATTCTAAGGAGCTCCAAACCACCACCGAGGTGGTCGGACGACTATGCGAGCGCGCGCAGAAGCTCCAGGGCACCTGCACGGGCGAACACGGCGTGGGCATGGGCAAGATCGAATACCTCGAAAAAGAGCTGCCCGCCGCCACCATCCGCGTCATGAAGGCCATCAAACTCGCGCTCGACCCAAACAACCTGCTCAACCCCGGCAAGCTCTACCCGCACCCTGCCGCCGCCGCGTCGTCATAAGACCTCATCCCAATGTCCCCGGTTTTTGTAGTAGAGCCCGAGAGTATAGTGTCAATTTCAGAGAAGGGAAACGTGTTGAGACGTCGAGAAGGTGCAAGCGGAATGTATGCGGAGAGATCAGTGGTGGAAGAGACGCAGGTTGGTCCTGACGACGACCATGTTGTACTTGTTGGCGGTGGCGACGCAGGCGTCGTCCATCACAGATCCGCCGGGTGCGACGATGAAGCTGGTGCCGCTCCTCTTTGCGCGGTGGACGTTGTCGGGGAAGGGGAAGAAGGCGTCACTAGCGCAGACGACGCCCGTGAGCTGGTCGGCGTGCTGCTTGCGCTCTTCGGCGCTGAGCGGCGCGGGCACCTGCTCGAACACGGCCTCCCACTCGGCCTTTTCTTCGGCCGAGAGGTTCTCGGTGCCCTCGACAAAGAGGTCGATGGCGTTGGACTTTTCGGGACGCTTGGTGCCCTTCTTGAAGGGGAGGCTGAGCACGCGCGGGTGCTGACGCAGCCAAAAGTTGTCGGTCTTGCTGCCGGCGAGACGCGTGCAGTGGATGCGCGACTGCTGGCCCGCACCGAGGCCGATGACCTGGCCGTTCTTGGCGTAGCAGACCGAGTTGCTCTGGGTGTACTTGAGCGCGAGCGTGGCGACGAGCAGGTCGAGCTGCGACTGCTCGGGCACCTCCTTGTTGTCGGACACGATGTTGGTGAAGAGGTCCTTGGTGATCTTGACGTCGTTGCGGCGCTGCTGCAGCTGGACGCCGTAGACGGTGCGCGTCTCGATGTCCGACGGCTCAAACTGCGGGTCGATCTGCAGGACGCAGTACTTGCCGCCCTTCTTCTTGGAGAGGATCTCGAGCGCCTCGGGCTCGTACGCGGGCGCGATCACGCCGTCGCTCACCTCGCGCGAGATGATCTTGGCGGTCTGCACGTCGACGGGGTGCGAGAGGCCGATAAAGTCGCCGAAGGACGACATGCGGTCGGCGCCGCGCGCACGCGCGTACGCGGTGGCGAGGCCCGAGAGCGCGCCGAGGTCGTCGACGAAGAACGCCTTGGCCTCGAGCTCGGTGAGGGGCACGCCGACGGCGGCACCGGCGGGCGAGACGTGCTTGAAGCTCGCGGCGGCAGGCAAGCCGGTGGCCTCGGCGAGCTCGCGGACGAGCGCCCAGGCGTTGAGCGAGTCGAGGAAGTTGATGTAGCCGGGCGAGCCGCAGAGCGCCTTGACGGGCATCTCACCTGCAGTGACAAACGCCTGGGCGGGCTTCTGGTGCGGGTTGGCGCCGTAGCGGAGCGGGAGCTGCTGGACGACGTCGGTGGAGTTGGAGGCGAGGCTGGCGTACTGCTGGCGGTAGTAGTTGCTGATGGCGTCGTCGTAGTGGGCGGTCTGGGAGAAGGCCTTGACGGCGAGCAGGTTGCGGTTGGCCTTGGCGGCCTCTGCGTTGGAGCTCTTGTAGTTGTCGAGGAACTTGGCGTAGTCCTTAGGGTCGGAGAGGACCCAGACGCGCTCGTGGTTCTTTGCGGCGGCGCGGAGGAGGGTGACGCCGCCGATGTCGACCTCCTCGGTGGCCTGTGCGATGGAGGGCTTTGGCTCCTTTGCGATGGTCTCCTCGAAGGGGTAGAGGTTGCAGACGACGACGTCGATGGGCTCGATGCTCTGCGCCTTGAGGTCTTCTACGTCGGAGGGCTTGGAGGTCTGGGCGAGGATGCCGCCGTGGACGGCGGGGTGGAGGGTCTTGACGCGGCCGCCGAGCATCTCGGGAGCCTTTGTGATGTCCGAGACGTCGCCGATGGGCAGACCGGCCTCGCGGACGAGCTTGGCGGTACCTCCGGAACCGAGCAGACGGACGCCGAGGGCGTTGAGGCCCTTGGCGAGGTCGAGCAGGCCGGTCTTGTCGTAGACCGACAGGATGGCGATGGGCTGGGAGGCAGACATGTTGCAAGCCTGTGTGGGGGAGGGTGATGGGTGGTGGTGTGAAGGGATGGGGAAGCGCTTGGAGTCCGACAAGAAAGAGACGGCCGGTCAACGCACCGACGACTATGGCGACGTGAGTGAGTGGCTGCAGGGCGAATTGAGCGGGGGGCAACAAGTCGCTCTCTGGGGTTGGTTGGGGTGGAGGTCTGGAGCAGTCTCCTGCGCCTCTCGTTGGTCGGATTGGAAATTCCCCCTCGTTTGTGGGTCGAAGCAACCTTTTTTTTTTTTTTTTT